CACCTGTCTTTCAAACCAAGACAAATTCTTACAAAACTCAGTACGTACTTGCTATTCCTGCCTTCTGGTGAGGGAAAAAGAGGCAGGGAAAAGAAAAGTATTAAATAGCTACGAGGAAAAAATCAGAGAAGGCCAGAAGAGAAAAACTGGAGAGGAAAAGCAGCATGGGAAATGTCTACTATGCAGGTAGGAGTGCGAGTGGTTTCAACAACCCTACTGCAAAGCAGACCTTCGGGGTGGTTGGGGGTCACTGGAACTGGAGATGTTCACCCAGACACTTTCAGCACTGGACAGGCATGCTGGAAGGAAGGTCAGGGTGAAGTGACCACGAGCTACACAAGAGCACCCGCACATCACTCCTTGTATGCTATCATGGTGGTAAAAGCTGGAATTGCAGCAGCTGTGCTAGATTATGGGTTGCTAAAATGCCTGCAGTTTGTCCATCATACTGCTGCAATTAAGTGAGCAGGTTCACTGGTGGCATATGGGTTCCAACTTTCTTAGCGTAGACAAAATCCTTCTGTGGTACTTCAGCTTATCAAGATACTCTCTTCTACATGATGATAATACAGCTACAAAACCCGCCAGCTTGCTTAGCCAGTAGTTATTCTTCTCTCTTTTCCCCATTTGCAGGCTTTCTGAGATATGTAGATTGGAGCAAACAAATACATACACACCTTGTATGTTTTGAAGGCAAATTGATCTGCATACCATTTTCGCACTTTAGGATTGGTGAAATCCAAGTAACAAGAGGAACCTGTGGATATGGGAGAACCCAATTATTTACCTGATTTTAAGAGCAGGCATACATTGTCCTTGCACCTAAATACAGCAGCCTAAATCTAGGATGCTTTCCACAATGGGCAGCAATAATGTAGTCACTAAGGTTTCTGAGAAAAAAGCTCAAGAGCAAATTCCAGGCTGACTTGGAACTCAGTACACCCCTTGCCATGTTCTGCAGACTAGCACACATAGATTCTGGAGGTCTGAAGCTCAGCACCATTTAAGATGACTGCTAGCAGTTTGAAATATGTTCAGATGTGAACAGGAAGCCAGAGAGAGACAGCATCCTTGGTATTTTGAGCTCAAAGAGGAAAGTGTCACTGAGAAGCCGAGTAACTACATCCTGCCATGCTACTTGAAGTTGTAATGACCTTGTTTTTTTCCCATATTCATTCCTTTGCCAGGATTGTGGGCTTTCTGTCTGTAAAGAAGGGGGACAACCTCCTTTGCCTCCCCACAACGAGATCTTCTCATGAAAAATAACATGTCAAATCACTATATTATGACTGAATCAAAGTTTTCAGTATCAGGGTTCACTTAATTTCATCCAGCCTACATAAGCTGTGCTCACTGCAACAGACCAGACTGAATTTCTGTTACCCAAGACAAGTTGGGATGAGGGATGGCTGTTCTGCTCAACAAATCCAACTTTTGTAGTTCTAGGCACTGGGACTGTCTGCAGATCCAACAGACATAACAGAGGATGTTGTACAGCTGAGGCAATTAGAACATGACTGTACGAAAGAAACCACAAAGTACTTGAAATAATGGATACTTACAAAAACTGCAAGGAATGTAAGAATTTAATTCCACTTCCATGGGTCCCAATGAAAGTATTCTGCAAAATTTTTAAAATAAACAGCTTGAAAAGTAGAGATAGAGTGGGTTTTTTACCTGGCCAACAGATGCCCTCAAAATCTTGTCCATTTCTGTCTTTCACAAAATATCCCTTGTCTTTTGCCTGTGAATACAGGGTATACATGGGATCAACCTTAATGTGGGGATCTACAATGACGACAAGCTGCCAGGACAAGAAAATAAAATGCATCATTACCATCAACTGTACTGAACAAAACAGTAAGAGTTCACTTTTGATAAAAGGCAGATAACAATTTCACTTCAGGTAAAAAAGGTAGCTGTGTCACTAATTTTATAAAGCAGTTACCAGTTCTTGTATATACTGTGCTATACTTATGTGTAATAGCTGAATTTACAAGGAGGGCATGAATTCATGCTTACTCTTCTGAAATAAGGGCCAAAACCCACTGTTTCAGATAAAAGCTAGTACCCCAGTCCCTAGAAACATTATGTTTAATTCACTGCAGTAGTCTGTGAATGGAAAAATATCTGACTTTCATGTTCATGTCCCTGCTTAAAATGATTTGCCTTAAGACATTTAAATATATCTTAGTTTCTATGGCATATAACAGCAACAGAAGTTTCTATTTTTTTTAAACATTCCCGTATTGTATTTTGCAGTTACTTTCTGCTGCCATTAACTGCCTTGCTGTAAAGCTAAGAAAGTACTACAGCTCCAACTAAGAGTTTATAAAACTTGAATGCTTCTTCAACGGTCCCCTGTTCAATGACTTTTGGCAAAGATCAAGCATTAAGCGATTCTGCAGCTTTTCAATATTAACTGTGTACATTGTAATACCTCTGTAATTCCAAGGAATATATTTTAGCTGTAAAAGCAGAAATAGAGACTAACTAAGCTAACAGACTGTACATCATACCGGAAGGAAAAGACATTTAGTTGACGGTAAGTAATCATATCAACATAAAGGACAAATCCAGTTAGTATAAGCAGAAAATAGAAAGTATTATCAATACAAAGAAAAGATGAAGCAAGGATAACTATCAATGGTGAAAGCTCATGCTAAGTACAAAAATTTTCTACTGTGCCCATCAAGGACAGCACTGGGCTGCTTCTGTAAGATGGAGCTTCACATGGGTCAAACTTAGCCTGATGGTCAGGGTACAGAACAAACTACGAAATAATAAAATGGCATGAGGAGCTAAATTAAACGAGGTAGCTTGTGCACTGGAAGCATCACCAGACTGCAACACAGCCTAATTTTCTCTGTTCTAGTTAAACTGTTTCCAGTACCTGAAGTACCTTGGTTAAAGCTAGATTGGGTAGCTTGACACTACACAGAAATATTTTCTTTCTTCTGCTGTATTATTTACCTTGCGTTTTTTCTTGCTGAGATGTTCTTGCATCTTTCTGGGGTTCTGGAATTTCTTTTTGTCCCAAGTGAAATACCTCTTGCCATCTGTGTGCTCTATGTCCAGCCATATCACATCATAAGGAATGTCGTGTTCATCAAAGCCAGCATCTACTGCCTTGACATCTTGCTCATCCTCATAATTCCAGCGGCACTGATGGTAACCCAGAGAAAAAAGGGGGGGTAGGGCTTGAGTGCCTAGGAAGAGCATATGAATGAAGATGATACCGTTAATGCCCTTCAGGATTTTATCTAGAGACTCTAGAAAAGTTAACATGATTGATATGTATCTGTCTGGAGCTAGGGAATGCTCGCCTAAGTTGAGTCTAGAGCATGTTCTTCATACCAAAGTGACTGAACCCTTGAAATAACAAACATCACAACAAGCTCAACAGCCAGAAAGAGCAAAGGGCTGTAATGATAATACAAGAGTGAGAAGTAACTTGCTGTTCCATGCCGCTGAAATGTTACTCCAGTAACCAACATAATTTTATTCTTTAATTTTTTCCTAATGTAAAAAAATATTCTACATTAGCTTAACTGTCATTAATGCAAATAATTAAATAGATTTTAATCAGTAGAATGCAATTCCTGTCACTGCTTGAACTTGAGCAGTGCAAACAGGCCCACAGGTGCTGCAGTACAAGAAGAACCACGGAATTGCAATTGTTATGAATTTTTAAATTTAGAAAACATGTATATACGTATGCATATGGCAAAAGGGAGCTGGAAAATTTTCCTGAGCATGTACTGCTTGGCAAGATCCTTTTGTGATCTGACTGAGTTCCTATTCTTGTTCAGCTGAACCACATTCTCTCCTTAACATCTGTGCAGCAAGCAATCACTGCTAACACACTAAGGAACTACCAGGGATGTTTCTGTGCTTTTAATTCTCTTTAGTACATAAAGAATTTTGCTTTCATAAAATGTTAGTCCTCTTGCCTCCATTTTTTTAGTCTCTTCCTGAGCCTCTTGCTTCTTTCCTTTCACATATCTGCATGCCACTCTGCTCCCTTCCCTAACGGACACACTGTACAGTTACCTATCCTCTTTCTCCACTCTCCAGGATACATTAACTCCATTACACCAGTCTTTTCTCATTATAAAGTGGTCTGTCTTGATGGTGACTGGCACTTCCAACCCCCTTCGTCTCCTCTCTTCATCTAAGGGAGCAGTTTCAGACAGAAGTAATTGTGCTGGCTTCTCAAATAGGGCCAAGTCTGACCAGCTGGGGATGCTAGGAAAAACAAGGATGGAGGCACCAGCCTTTGCTCTACAAACTGCAGTTTGGGAACAACTGGCCTCTTGCACACAATGGGCTAGGTAAATATTAACCCACTCGTGGGCACAGCATGTTCCCCAGAGAATTTCCCAGGTAAATGTGCCCTACTGACTCCAATTATGTGAGTTAGTACCTGTTAGCTGGGCAAACTGCTTGAAGATATCACACGCAGTGGGTCCCATCAGCCGGAAAACGTCAATGATTCCGCTTTCTGACATCCAGCGCACATCAGTTAGAGGCACTGCTCTCTGCTTAGCAGCCTCTGCAGCAGATCCGGATGGCATATGCTTTGAAGGAAATCAAGGCAAAACTGAGTATCTCTCTATCAAACTTCTGTTCAATGAAGGAGCAAAGATGGAAACCCACAAAATTCACTAACACATACCTGGCATGTATTAGGAATACACACTGAATGTTCCTTATATATCCTTCACAAATATTTTACCCTGCATACTGCTTATATAAAACAGAGTAATAGTTAATGAGGAAAACTGGGTAATGAGGGGCAAAGTAATTAAAGCTTTTCTGCAATTAAAGACCATGCATTTTCTGCAGGATCTTTGAGTAATATTTATAACTAAAGACACTCCAAGTAATAAAGAAAATTGATAACTTTAACCATGTAATGAAGGGCTGGAATAAAGCAAGATTTTCTTTTTCTCACTGCTTCAATTTTAACAGAATTTGTATGCTTGTTTCAATAGTTGAGTGAGTGAGAACATTTTATGTTTCTTGAAGAAGGCTCAGAAGAATGAGTCTGTTAAGCAGAAATGTGTGGCAATACCAAGAATTTAAAAACTCAGAAAAATTCCTCAAATCCAAGAGACTGGCAAGATTTTTGTCCACCCATTTTTCTGCCTGCGTAGATTTTTTCCACTCCAACATTACATTTCCCTCTCTGCCTTCTCCTGTAGACCTGTTAAGATACAAGTCCTATAACTTGGCCCTTGAAAGGAGGCATCTCCTTGTTCTTTTCAGCGGTTTAATACAACAATCTTGCTGGCCCTGCCCTGGAGCGTTGTCTTTCACTATTAAATTCTGAGAAAAGTGAGCAACTCTCACCTCAGCTACTGCCTTTGTAGTAATATCCACCAGCGTTTCTGAAGAGTTCAGCCAGAAGATCCCTGAAGTTCTGTTAGGCCTGTGTGCTAAGAGGAGGGGCACTGAACCATAAATGCCTATTTTGTCATGTATCTTGTGGCCAAAGATATCCAAATTATAAAGCCGGTAGGCATCACCATCACTAGGACAAACAAACAGACCTCTGTTATATGTAAGCATCCTGCACTAGGCCAACTTTAGCTCTATTGCCATTCCACCAAACTCTGTGAACACTCTGTATTATGGTCTTTTGTTTAGCACCCAGAGCTGAGAGGTGGACAGCCTAGATCACTGCTTCTTTGCATTGGTTCTAGCTATTTGAAACAAACAACATTTTTGCTGCCAGTGGGACTACTGTTCGTTTGCTCTATGTCCTAAAATATGAATTCTGAGCTCTCCCATCCTCCCATGGAGTTGCTCTTTTAAGAGTTCTGCTTAAACATGACCAATCCTGCAATTCAGAAAAAAAATGCACGGAAAACAGAGAGAACAGAAGGGGTCATTCGTGAAATTGCAGAGTGGAAAGGGAAAGCAGAACAACTTACTCCACGTGGACAGGGGCTATGATTCAGTTTGCTGTATCATTAAACTGAAACACACTATATACTACACATACCTCAACTTGTTGTCTGCATTAAATTATTACGTCAATGTTAATAGCTCTCCTCTACAAAAGTGATACTCCTTTCACTAGCAATCTGCCACCTTTACCTGGTGTTTTTGAGAAGAAGTGTTTCTGTGTGTTGTGGTATTCCATAAACATGGTCAAATCCATGCAAAGAGAAGTCCATGCCTACAGAACTAGGACCTGTGGGAATAACATTAAAAGAGAAGACCACAGAGTTCCATTTTCAGGCTTAGCTGAAAGCAATAAAGCAGCGCAACCTAACTGAAAAAAAAAATAAAAATAAAAAGCAGCTTTTTATAACTAGCTCTTTCATACTTGCTTTCAATTTCACTTTCATTATTACTTCTGTACTACAGAGGTAATGTTTTAAACAGATTTTATTGTATTTATTCTGATTTTGATCTGCTTAAGAAGATAAAATGAATCACTTTAATAGAAAAAAACCCCATGTAATAGTGGGTCACTTCTTTATTCTGCGGTGAAACTGCTTAAATTTATCTCCTGTTTCTATTCCAGTACCTACAAGACAAGCTTTGCAGCACAGTGGTACAGTAGAGTGGACTTTAGAGTCAGAGCTGCCTGTTTTCTACTGCTCTTCTCTTCAGCCTCAGCCAGGGGAGTTGCATGCACAAGAGCCTCTGCCAGTGAAATCATCTTGTCACATTACTGAATCCAGAGCAACTTTAGCAGGGGACCAGAGATCCCATAGACTGACAAGCAGTGGCTTCAGGATCAGAACCTGACCATATGGACTTCATTCCTCCAACACAGAGAAACAGAAAAACACGATGCTGGCCTAATACATCAGATACAGCATGAACAACAAGGACAACAGCTTCCTGTCCCTCTATGTCTCGACTGTGAACTGAAGAAGCTCCTGTCAACAAAAGGCAGCTCTTTCAGACTTCCTTCTCCCTACTGCAGCTGCTGTGTAGTGCTGGTTGCTATAAAAGTCTGCATAATAGTGGTAATAGACAAAGCTAACCAACTCAATGTAGAATACAATTGAACAGACAGCAGACAGTCATAAAATTTGGTAACTAATAATTTAAATTATATTTGAGATACTGACCTACACATTTCTATAACCTTCTTATCCCTTAAGACTGCTCAGTATTTCCTTTTGTAGTCCCCTGCTTAAAAAGAGTTTCTCTGTGACAATTATTAATGCTTAGATATCATGATTTCTGATATGTTGTGAGAATAAACTACAAGTGAAATCAATGTTATGTGCTGACAGTAAAAAAGTAAAAAAAAAGGAAAATAAAAATAAAGTAATGCATTATATACCAGTCAGCCAACGCAGACAGGCTTATGCTGTGTCAGAAACGGCACGCAGCGAGCTGACAAAATGGGTCACAGTTCACGTGTTCCCTCCTGAACAGAAATCTAATGAATGTTACCAGCACTTTTGTCAAATTTGTTACCCATCACTGATACCTAATAGGCAAGTTAAAATAAGGAACGAGCAACACATTGATAAACATTAAGCAGCTAAACTGAAAGCAGACAGAAAAATGAATGAACACAGATATATACAAAGCAGTAAAGCTGTTTTCAGAACTAGACTGAGACTTACCATGAGCTTTGATGTCTAAGAAACTGCCAAATTTCTCTTGCCAGAGACCTAGGTCCTCTTGTTTCTCCTGCATAAACAGAAATAGCTAAGCCTAGAAAATGCAACTCTTGTACCATGTATTTCTAAGAAAAATATGTTTATTCACATGAGATTTGTACAGTTAACTGCTTTTTTGCCAAATACGGTTAATATAAATAAGTCCAAAACACAATTCGGATCCTGCTGCAGGAATTTACACTGAAGAACTGACATCCTAGTGGAGCACACACATGTACTCTGCTACAGCATAAAAGTAATACCTGAGGTCTTGAATAGAGTCACAGAATGACAGAATAGCCCAGGTTGGAAGGGACCTCAAAAGATCACCTGGTCCAAGCTTTTGTGGGAAACGGAGCCTAGATGAGGTAATCTCATACCCTATCCAATTGCTTCTTGAAAATCTGCAGTGATGGGGACTTTACCACATCCCTGTGCAGGTTTCTCCAGTGAATGACTGTTCTTGACATAAAAATTTTCTTTCTTATGGATGTTGAACATGATTATGAAACGCAAAGATTGCATGGATGGAACCAAACAGGAAAACATATACAAACAGAAAACAACCCACTACCCAGAAAGGGTCAGACAACAAAAAAACCACTCCAGACTCTCTGGAGTCCTGTGTGTGTAACTGATACTTTTAGCCTCATTCAAATTTTGAGCCTTGTGCCCTGACATTTGTTGTGCTAAAATTGCCACTTTTTGCAGCGTCTTTCCTGGTTTTCTTTTCTCCATTCATCCCAGAATAAGCAGACATAGGCTCTTGCAGCTGTGTGAGCCAGCAAGCTCCCTGGCAGAACTCAAGAGTTCAGACACAAGTATGCTGAAGCTCCTTCCATTTATAACAGGAAGGTGGAGTAAGCAGCCATCTGCTCTACAGGAGGCTAAAATTATATCACGGACATAACTCAGCCTCCTGAGAAAACTGGTATGTACCCTTATGCACTGCCAAGACTCGGTCTTTTTTCAGAGGGAATCTTACTTAAGCATGAATGTACGTGGAGGCATATTTTTGGACTGTTATAAAACAGGTCTTGTTCATTTGAAATTCTCTTTGCAATGAGCAGGGAAGTGCAAAGTGACCAAATATCACCACAGAACTCCCTTTACACATCTATGCCAAATCAAATGAGAGAACAAAAGAGAAAGAAATTCTAAATTAAAAGGCCATGGAAAAAAACCCCACGTTTTGGAACTAGATCTACCTGACTGATGCCTTCTACAGGCCTGGTAGAACACATAAACCTTTATTCAACTATGAATCTGCAAAATATCTCAATATGAAATACCAGGTCCTTTTTGAATTTCACTGAAAAGCGGTTAGACTATGCTTATAAACATAGTACCAGAAAAAAAGAACATGTGATTCTAATTCTCTTTTCCACAAAATATTCATGCTGGAATTGCAGTAAGCATGGGTTACCTTAGAGGAATCACTTGCTGCCTCCTTGGTATCTGCTTTAGGTTTTCTAGTGAAAAAAAATACATAGAAGTAATCAATTTATTGTTAATGTAAGGAGGGATTTCAAAGAGAAAATTAATATAGCATTATGAATATTGCATTATTATTATATTATTATTCATATAGCATTATGAATAGCCTTATACATTATACAAGAATTTTGGTGCTTAACTATTCTGAAAATTGATGTCATAGTTGAGAGCTCTAACTGGCAAATCATTTCAATATTCAATGTTTTAAAATAATCTTCACTCCCTATTTGAGTTAGGTTGATTTCTTGGCCTTTCACATTTATTTCTATCTGCATCAGCATTTTACCCGCACAGAAGACCCTCACTTCCATGTCATTCTCTGTTAAGGGCTCCCAGTCAATTACAGTTTTTGAAATAATTGTTTCTAACAGAGATGCTTGCTATGTTCCTTTTCTAGTGATGACATGTCCCGCCCTGTGGTTTCTCACCCTTCCAGCACTTTGCAAAGGGTCTGACCTGTAAAATCAGATGGCACACTGGAAGTTGAAAAAAACACACTTCAAGAACTTATGTGGTAAATAAAACTTACCCAAAGAGTAAGTTTAGTGATAAAAGGAGACAAAACGAATAACCCCATTACACTACCATCACTCATTCCCAAGCAAGACAAGGGCTACCAGCAGGATACTTTAGTTTTTCACAGAACTGGCCACTAAATGAAGTTAGCATTTTGCCCATGGCTGCTGCAAGGGATTAAAGCAGTCTGCAGTTAATTAATCTAGAACATCTTTATGAAGATTAAAAGTTTTTATGAAGTTCAAACCTCACCATTGTACTTACTGGTATGAAGTAAAACAGAAGACAGATTTCAATATGTAAGAGCTTCTGTCACAGAAACTGAAATTCCATAGAATTGTTTCTCTTCAGCTACAGCACAATCAGTACATACTACGGTATGATAGACAGATACTGTACCTGTCACTGGGAGGTGCTTGTAGGTGCTCAAAATATAACAACCCATTGGAATTCATGCTCAGAACAGTCTCACCCTTGGACTGTAGCTCAATCTGGAAGGGGTTTGCTGTGACTTGAAGTCTGTAGTCCTCATGAACACTTGACAGCACCAAAATACCTGCCTCCTTCTGGGATATGAAGAGTCTGGCAAACGAAAAGCATCAACGGCTTTATATGAATCAGCAGCACGTGAAATCCACTGTAACCAAATAACAATTTCAAAGAAAAGATGGGCAGATGTGGGAGGACATTTATGAAATAAGAGACATGCGAACAATCCAGCCTTTCCAGAGAATCTGAGCTGGGACATACCGGAACTGCTGAAAGCATAAACAACTTCCGGTGCAGGGGGCATGAACATCTTACAGGTGCAGGAGAAGAGACAGCCGCCATTAATGATGCAGTTTTAATTCTTGAAGAAGATGGGTGTGAACATCTGTGAACGTGACTTGAACATGACTCGCAATGTAGCCAATCGGGTTGGACTATGGGCTGTTATTTGCGATGAAGCCAATCAGTATTTATTGGGTGTGGTCGAGGGTTATAAATTGCACTGGAAACACGGAAATAAAGGTTCACTTGTTAGATCACATTGATCGTGTCAGTGTCCTCACGCAGCTCCCGCAGGCAGAGAATATCCAAACACATTATAAAAACCTGAAGGCTAAAGTTGAGGCAAAGAAATGCCAGAAATACGTGCTGTGTTCAGGGTTCACTGCACAGTGCAACAGGTGGCTACAGAACCGCTGTGAAAACTATGCAGTCTGCATTCTTTTCACATTAACAGGTAATGCCTTAGGTAAAAGTGATGCATCATAACAAGTGGGCTATTTTCTGATTGGGTCAAAGAGCCTCAGGTTTCTTATGCACATGACAAAACTTTCTCTTATGTATTTAACATGAATTTTTGAAAGTAAATTAACCACATGTAGTTTTATTTTCTCTTCCTGTAACAACTTTGTATCATAGAGAGACAACTGTAGTGGTGTAGCACAAATGAGGGAGAAGGGAAAATACTTGCAAATGAAGCTGTATAAGTTACTAAGGTGCTAAGTCATCTTCCCATCACTTACCTCTGGGTGGTAGGTTCCTTTGTAAGAACATCAGGAACTTTGTATCTTGCTCTGAGAGGAGATGGCTCATCAATTTTAAGCCTGAAAATATTGCCTTCTATTTCAGAAATTTCTACTTGTAGAAGGACCTGGGAGCAAACAAACATATAAACTGGTAGGATAAAAAATAACAACTTACTTCAACTCAACACCCCAAACACTTACTGGCTGGAAAAAAACATCTCTGCTTTCTGATTTAATGTTCTTTAGCATTGCTGAGCAACAATCATCCATATGAATTTACACCAGCTAGCTCTACTTCTCCCCTTTGAAAAAGCAACTCTTTTTAAGTAGACTCTTTACCTTCAAGTCTCTCATGTCTAGTATTTTGCAGTTCTCCCCACAAGAGTATGGAAAACAGGGGTAGTATACACTAATCTTGAAGTTTGGACAATTTCACTACTGTGCTGTTAATGTAAAAGTGGGATACTACTGAGATGTGGGCTTTTTGCAAAAACCTCAGTGCTCTGTGTTCACTAGTATTCACAGTGGTGCTGACACTGATGAACTATATCAGAAAGACATCTAAAGAAAAACCATAATACTGCCCTACCCACTGTAACTTGCTATTTTAGAGTTCAGGGAACTGTTCTAGCTAATAGGAAATAATTCATTTTTCTTCCGTGGAGGATCCCTACACCACAAGTCCAATTTTCTTCTAGTTTTTCCTTTCTTAATCTCTCCTCCCACGAGACGTAAAACTGGCTGAAGAATTTTGGCCTGATATCTTTTCCCTTTACCTGGAAGCCGATCAGCCCTGCTCTCTTCAAAGGCATGAAAGAATGAAAGACCCATAATACCAAAGGGAGAGTAGGCAAGAGAGAAAAGATTCATTTGGAGTTCCAGATCCTGCTTCCCAAGAAGTACTTTACATTATTCCACCTTTGTATAATCCCCTGAATAGTCTAGGAAGCCACAGAGCCTTCAGTCTTTCACCTGCCTTAAACAGGCCCCTTTTTCTGTGCTGACTGCAAAGAAGGTCAGGATTAACAAGAGAGGCAGAAAATTCATTTATGCAGAGTATCTACATAATGTGATGCTTAGAGCATGGAAGAGAGCTGTATTTCCAAACTCCTATAATCTGAGGATGGGTTAGGTTGCCTGCTCCCTGAGTGAATGTGCTAGCTGCTCTGCTGTTAAACTAGAGAAACTGAAGACACCCCTCTTCCTGGCTGTCTTTGTAAATGCAAAGACTTCTTTTTTTCCCAAAAAACTGCCTTTGAGCAAACACAGGAATACAAAGGTACGGTTAGGAGGTGCTGGAACACAGGTCTTCTCATTCCACTACAGAAAAATAATTTATTATTTTGGAATAGTGGAGAAAACTCTGAATTTTTTTTTTCATATAAAAAGAGTTTATTCAGATTTTTCATAAACTTGTTAAAGGTTTTTTTAAAGTTGCTTAACAAATCTGTTCTTGCACAGTCTCAATCTGCCAAATAAATACTGACTGGTAAGGGCATCTTTAGGCTGATACTTTGCATCATATCTTACATATCTATCACTGAAAAATCTCAAAAACTGCAATTATCAGACTTGTTGGTAATATTCACTGCTCTTTCTGTAAGTACCCTCTTAGACGCTATGTGGGATCTCACCTTATTCTCTTCATGAATAATTTGGAATTTGACATTATCATCACTTAACGTGACTGAATCCAACAATGCTCGATACAAGGATTTTCCAGGATGTAGAAGTTTCTGACGCCTGTCAAGACAGAAAATTATTTTTGGTCTCCCTAATCATAGTGGATATATCACACAGAGGGACACAATATTGTTAGAAACGTTTACTTAACAATTTTGGCTTGACTTTTTTCAAATACAATTATTATCAGCACTTCAAGTCAAGGGGGAAAAGAAGGAATACAGTTCTGAGCACACAAACATGTTTATGAATGAGATGTTAGAGGGGTTTGGTCACCCATCATCACTCCATACAGTTTTTTAAAAAAATAACAGTCTTAATTCACGTGTCCAACTGAATTATCAGTGGTCCAGTTACATTCTTCTTCTTTCCATGGCCCCAGAAATTTCAGCTGAATAATCTGTTTTTCATTTTCTGTCATATACCCCTGCTTGGTCTGCAACCCTCTGGTGAACAGCTTCTAAATTCTGTGGTGATGAAGCAGTATTAGTTTGTAATTTGTAACCTCCTGAATACGCGCTGAGGAAATAGTTTTTCAATGAGAGTTTTGATTACAGCTTTTGGCCCTGATGATGTTTTTAGGACAGAGACCCTGAAACAGAGGCTCTTTCAACTGTTTGTAGAATGTGCCTTGCTGAGCCCAGGTTTTATGACCTACTTGAAGATAAGCGTCTCGGAGGCTACCTCGAAGAGAAGCTTCTTCATTAGTAAACCGGCTTTGTTTCCTTGCAAACAGATATTGCATAAATGCGAACAATCAGATAAAGGATTTCTTTCAAAAGCAGGGCAAAGACAGGATCTGGTACTTGCCAGTGTGTGGCAACCTCCTGCTGAGGAATTAGATGTGTTAAGTTAAAATGGTGACAGGCTAGAAAGGGGTGAAAAGAGGAAGGAGTCCTGCTCCCACTGGCAAAACGTTATTTGGGGTTTTCTGAACCTGCAGAACAGAAATGAAGATCTGAAACTGTAACCCAGTAAGTCAGTGACTAATTGGTATTACACTGGGCAATCATTTCTTTCACTCAGGCAGCACAGGATAGAAGATAATGGAGGATGGGAGAAAAAAAAAAGGTGGAGGAGAGCTATCTCAGTTAGAAAAGGGATGAGAAGGATCACTTATCTTAAAGTTAGCTTCAAGAGACTAATGAGCTAGAATTTAGATTTGATGCTGAATTCCAGCCAAGGCACTCGTTCGACAACACTGTAATTATGTATACTGTTGTCACAGACTGATGGTTTCTATCAAGGATCCTGTTGTTTCGAATACAGATATTCAAGAAATATCCACATCAAGAAAACAACCTGTGTCTGAACATACCTATAGTTAAAAATATTGCTGGGGATTTGTCAGATGAGAGGATTGATTCTTTTGAATTTTAACAGAAGAGGTTTTAGATGTGAGATTCCGCCTTTTAAAATATGCTGATTATTGCTCACTGACAGGTGAGCGGAACGCTCACTTTGAAAGATAAATCCTGAAAGTATCAGACTTGCTGTGATTAAAAATCAATGTGTAAGTACTCCCTGTATCTTTTAATATTACTAGTTAAAAAAAACCACAACACCCTACAATTCTTCTCTTTACCTGTAAAAAGCAATCTGGTTGCATTTCTTAAAGGTGCTTTTGTCCACAGCCTCATCTTTGACACTAGAAAGAGCAG